GGCTTCAGTCGACAAAAGGCCGCCGTTGTAGGTCCCACGCGAAAGCCTGGACGACATCACTCTGGAGAGCAGTGACAGATTGACACCTGTAATTCAAAACCGATAAAATTTTTATGCATGATGTCCCTGGGAAATGTGTTCGGAGATGATTTGCCACTTTGAATGGCCAATTTCACTGTTGTACCTAGTGATAAAATGCTTAAATAAATGCGCCTATGACCCTTTTGCATGTAAGAAAACTGAAATTGTGGCACAGAAAAACTGCATGGCCTCCATCTTACAACAGTGTAGAAAAACTGATTACTGATAGACGAGGGATAATTTTCTTTTGCTGACAATTCCCGGTTCCAGCAACTACTGGTTTAAGGTATTTTTTTTTTTTTCTAGTTACTGGTATTTGTCGTGCATAATAAATTCTTACCTTCCAATACTTCAGCAGCTACAAACATGACGAGACCAGAGCAGACATATTGTGGCACAGAATATGGGATTATAAACTTGAAGCTGAAAACTATACCCAGCAAGACGACGATTTCTGATGCCAATAATATTTGCCTGCAAAAAAATGATTGATCCGCAAAATTCAGTCAAAAGTGCTGCAGAACAAGAGCGTGATATTGAACACTTTGTAGTGCAGTAAGAGGTTGAGCTGGCCGATGCTTTGGCAGAGGTTATCATGTTACTTACTACATTAAAGATAACAGTGCACAGTTCAAAGAAAGGCTTAATGTAATCATACCAGAAAGCTCCATTACACCAATTAAATCATTTCAAAGGCAATAGTTATATGCAAAAGCATTTAGGACAGCCCACTGATAGGCTGCATGGTTAAAATCAAATCACATACAAGATGATTTCTGACTTCTGCTAGCCTCACAATAAAAGCAGAAAGAACAGATTACACGTTGGCATGCAAAACTCACCACAGAAGAACCATACCCCGAAAGCAAAAAAACAGGCACCACCACATAGAAAGAGATTCACCACAGCTCTCAATCAGCTTATGATATAAAACTACTCTATAGAACATCAATGGAGATCAACTTAAAAGTTATTCAAATTTGTTAATCGGATGCGCTCGTGTGGATAATTTATTGAGGTCATAAGTTTTCACGAAAAATTACCTGTCCTCGTACATATTGCTTATATAACTTCCAACAATGATGTTTATTGGAAGAACAGTGAGACCAAGACACGCAAGAAAGATCGACACTTTGCTAGTCGTCCAACCAAAATAGTATGTTGTGATCACACTTGATTCTGAAAGTAGAATTTCCATTGCATATTTAAGCATGAAGTATATCAACAACTGAACCTGCAAAATAATCGAGTAGAAGCCTTCATTAGACCAGGTGAACAAATTTTAAAACTAATGTATTTTGTCAATGTACTGTTGGGTGCTTTAAGTGTACCGTTAACCTCATCCTGATCGTAGTAAAAAAAACATGGAAGTGCTTTACGAAGATATTTTCCATTTATGACTACATGATAAAATGAATTTATTTCTGCGAAAATACATTACGTGGCAAAGTTATTTATGTTTTATTTCTTGCATAACATCACAGAATTACACTGCATATTACCTTTACAGAAGGTGTGAGTAAATTATAGGCTGATCCAAAAGAATTGGCTGGCAGACGAGATTCCTCTTTAGCCTCTTCACTTCTATCATATTCTTGATCCCCATCATCATCATCATCATCATCATCATCATCTTGATGTTCTCCTGACGTAAGTAACGGTTGTGCAAGGCCCTTCTCAAGCTTATCATTTTGTGCTGTTATGTATCAAATGCAAATACAACATAAGTTTCCAGGTGCCCGTTTTCGATCATGTAGCTGAGTGTTATGGCACTCATGAGTGTGAAGAACAACAAAACTGTGAATGAATATCCCGGTATAATGTTGTTTACTAGAGTTCAAGCATAATTGTAGTTTCTAGAGCACGAAAGCTACATACATCTGTGTAGTTTCCTAATACATACCTACAGCTATACTTCACAAAAAGCGAATGTTAATGGTTTTTTAAGTGAAGGATGTTTTTGTGAAGAGAACACACTCAAACTTTCATTTGTGAAGCATAAATATGGAACTGGCTCCAATAAACTGCTGATCACAATATATAGCATACAGGTCACTTTCAAACATCCAAGACTGCTATCTGTTAATTTTGCACGTAGAACTGTAAGGTCAATTCATGGAACTTAATGAATTAAGGACTGACATGAATATATCAGATCTTTGCTAATATAACCTGCATACTACCAAACAACTATAAAGACTTCCTATGTTACCAAGTGATTTATATATGATAAAAAAATAAATGTAATCTTTTGGTAAGTATACCATGAAACAGTTCAAACATCAATAAAAACAATAAAGAAAATGGGAGACGAGGTAAAATACCGGCACTAGATTCTTTTGGATCCTGGTTGGCTTCAGTATCATGAGAAGGTTCTCTGAACGAAATCCACAACCATACTAAATAGAACAACCAAGCCACAGACATTACCCAACCAGGCAAAGTGTCTTGGTTAAAAGTGATGTTGAAGATTTTGAAATTAGTTTGAAGTAATCCAGCTAGTGCAGGACCACATGCCATCCCCAATGCACTGGCACTAACAAAACCAGCTGACGCTTGCATGCGGATTTTGAGTGGCACACAGTCGCTAATGTAACGTCTGTTAACTGCTCTGGCAGAACCCAAACTGCAAGCTCACAGAAGAACAACAAATTGTCAAATCCTATCCAAACAATTGCTTCAAGTTGATGAACAGGTACAACATTGTATCGCTTATTATTTATTGTGAAGCTTATGAAACTCATATATTCTAGTGGACAACAAATTTTCATGTAATCAATAACAAATTTGAAAATATGCAGGTGGGAGTAGCAAACCAAACAACACAGTTCGACATTGAAGTACACCATTATATTTCAGTTATTCACATAATCCTGAGCAGTTTCACCTGGAAGTTATCAGTGATCAGTTCAAAATGTTCTATGTGGTTTTGATTTTCACATAGAAAACAAATGAAATTTTTAGAAAGAGAGAGAGACCTACCCACAAAATATTCGACCAATCAGAAGTACTGATATCGAATTAAGATCATATGCGTAGGCATACATAGCATTTCCAATGAAAAGAACTATGCTGCTAAACACCAACGGCTTGAAGTAAGACTTGTTGGACCAAGCACTGAAGTACACAGAAGAAAATATCTGTGCTACTGCCATTGCCCCAATCACTACACCACAGACTGTAGCTGGTGCCCCTAGGCTCAGTGAGTAGTCATCAGCAGTGGGGACAATAATGTATGTATTGACCATGTAAAGGAAAGTGTTTGCCAGGTTGAGAATGAGTGACATGAAATGGTATCTCTCCTCATCAGCAGGTTCCTCAACTTGAGAAGGTAACTCTTCCTGCATGATAAGTGCATGTTGACCCAAAAAGCTTAGGAAATTTGTCGAGTGGGTCAATCTGTCGGCTGCTTGTTTTAGTGAGTCAACAACAGGATCCTGCAGGTTGGATTTTTTGAGATAGTAAGCTATGTACTAAGAGATGCACAAAAACCATGGAAAGATGATGGAATACTGAATGCGGATACCTCAAGAGGAAGTGCAGGTTGGTCATAAATCGATAAGTAGCTTCCCTGACGATCCTGAAGATCTCCGAGGTTACGAGATATTGCTCCTACAACAGCTCCCAAACCCTGCAGTAATACGTCAAGTCAGGGACAATTTTATTCGTTTTTATTTTCAGTTGGTTGCAAATATCACCATAATAAGTGTTTAGCTGAGCTCATATGACAGACCTTATAAGCTATGACATTTGAGACTTTTCAGATATTATTATAAGATGATAGTTATTATTTTGAGATCAAGTTGCGGATATTTTTTGGAATTGGGTGTTCAGGGTAAATAGTACAAAAAAATAAATAAAAGAAATTAATAAAATAATATTTTATAAAATTTAATAAAATTAGATTATTTAACCTCTTATAAGACATCTGAAAGACTTCATCTTATTTTTGGAGCTCATATGAGTATGATCATTTTCTAGACAGCTTACCGAATACTTTGAAGAGCATGTATATTGTAAATTCATTGAACGACCTTTGTCAAAACAAGAGTTGCTTTCTGCGAAATTTCTCAAATATATACGTATTATATAGGATTTGGTTCGAATGGAAACAATTCCTAGAAAATATGAACATAAATTCAAATACTAGCCATTAAGATAATTTTAAATAAAATGGATTAACTAATTAAACAAAAATGAAAAATGATACACATTCTTTTATGTGTACTTTAAAAGACATATAACTGTAATGGATACATTTCTAAATGTGCATTAAAATTATTGGCGATTGACTATATTCAAAAAGATGTACAAACATAACGATGTATGTATCATTGTGCATTTTTCGCATTATTAAATATATCCATTAGATCTAACTTTATTTGAATGGCTTGGGTTTGGCTTAGCATTCCTATATTAGAAGTGGTTCTCATTTGAAAATCTTGTAACATCTTATTTGGAGCTTATGAAATTGATTTATGACAGTTATACCAGAGACTTCTCAAAAGAACTCAAGAGAAACAAGCTCTAAGACTCACTTAATGATGATGAGAAATAAAAAATAATTGCAACAGTAAGATCCTTCATTAATATTGAGGAATCAGAAGAACATGAAAGTAGATGCAGATGGATCTGTTGCATTGTATATTACCACATGCTTGAAGACCTGCTGAAGCTGGGAGTAGGGATGGTTGGCACGAGTTTTGACATAATAATCAGTGAATTTATATCCAAGACGCTTATCAAACTTCTTAAGGATCTTTCGCAGACCAATGGCATTCATTTCAACGAAAAAGAGAAGTCTTAGAAGATCCTGCCCAACTGCTCTGTAGGCTTCTCGTAGCTCACATAGTTTGGATATGTCAGGCTCTTCCTGAAGAGCCTCTTGTTGTTCACCAAGCTTTGCGATCCGGCTGGCAATGAGGCCTTGCTGTTCCAACATAAAGAGAACAATTTTCTCTATCTGCAAGGCAGCAAGCCAATAATGTAAGCATCACAATAACAAATTGACACAAACACAAATTTGAGGCCAGCATGGTTGTTTTTTCCTTAAAGCACATTTGTTAAACACTCTTTAACACATCAAAATATTTAAAATGCCTTGTTCATGTTACATACTCTTATGACGGAACAACTTATAAACCGTTTACAAGATAACAGTCACCATCTGAAGAACAACAAATAAAATAAGTGTGGATATATGTGGATATATACATATATACTCTTAAAGAGAATATTGAAAGGGTTATCAAGAATGAAGTAATATAGCCATGAGAGATTTGTTGTCTTGAGTTGGATAAAGACCAATGAACTCAAAAGAAAGTCACCCGAAAAGAAAAAAGAACAACTGTGCCATAATGAAATATATACATCAGTCGACAGCTGCAAACTATGTTCACCTGAATATCCAGCATTCTTGAGAAGTCCTTGAGAACGTGTCGACGATCTAGTGCTCCAGCTTCAATTTGATTAGCATACTGCTTCACCTTTTTCTTCATTAATTTGTAATTGATGTAATATCTGCATTGCACCACCAAAAATAATGCAAATTATTCCGTGCAGTAAGAAAAATTACAAGCAATATGTTTATTTATAGCAGTTTTGTTGTAATCATTCAAGCATCCAATTCATTTACACAACTTATTATAGCAAGTTAGCAACATTATTAGCCTAAGACTCTAAGACAAATCCTTCATTGCCACTAAATAAATGCACATGCAATAGACATGTCCCACAGCAATACGATTTCTGTCCATAAGAGCATATCAATCACACTACAATTCAAAGGGACCTTTCAATTCCTATAAATTTTATGCCTTAGATAATAGCTAGAATGCCAGGCTCTTTGACAGTTTTGGATGCTTTCTAATTGTTCTATTATGCAAATAAAATGTTTTGATATGGAAAACTGGCTTAAATGGACTTGAATACTTAATGCCATACCCTTGCCATTCTTGAATTTGCCTTTCCTTCAGCTTTTTTCCAAAGGCAACCATCTTTGTCTGCAATATGACAATCGAAAACTTGGATAAGAATCTTAAGAAACTGCATTTTCCCACTTGCTCACACAATCTGAATGCTAGATAGAAGTACAATTGCACAACCAAGTAACCTATAGAAACCAGAAAGAGAAGAAAGAAATAAAATCTCCATGGATTACTTCAAATTAGAAATGACGAGAGACAATAATCTTCTTAATTACGCCTCAGAAACAGAAACTATCCACTCAGACAATTTTAAATGTTTCTCATGCACAACAGTGACTGGTCAAGATCTTATGCAACCAGTGTATATGATGACAAACCTTCAAGATAGATCACAGAGACACAGCCAAAGAGTCCTCTCGGATCCTCTCAGTTGCGAACAGATGAAACTGATTCGGAAACTTCCTACACAAAGTCAGAGAGCCAAACACTACAAATCTCAACTGAAATCTTCTGACACCATAGACACACCCATTTCCTCTTCCCTTTGTTTATTAACAAGAAAAAAACATTGCACCTCTGCAACACATTGTTGTCCTTTTGTATTGTGCAAGAGCAAAATAGGAAGAAATCTTAGTAAATAATAAACACCGTTCTACACTGTTTTTTTCTTAGATTTTTTTTAAATAAAAGAAGTAAGAAAAAGACATTTCATATAATCCAAAAGCAATAGAAATATTCAGAGGAACCTTAAATCAAATTTGACGAGTTTTAGGCTGCCCCTTTTAGACCTCAAATTAGACCATACCAGGGAAAAAAAAAAGTAAAAGATGAATCAAGAAAAAGGGGAACAGGCTCATCTTTGTTGACATAATCTCCCGACCAATCGGCTACAATAAACATACCCAAAGATCCCATTGAACATATATTGTCATCACATCAACTACTAAATTTCCCTGTTACCATCAACAAAAGCAGACTCTTCCACACCCCATAAAAAAAAGGCCAACCCAAAAAAGTATGGCTCTTGAGAAAAAGAATGTAATTATCAAATTATACTAAGAATATGGAACCTGAGCAAACATATTGTAACAGAATCAAAATCCATTCATCAGAACACACAAACAACAATGCACGTGTATTGTAATTGTGCACACATTACGAATGCCCGCACATGGAAAAACGAGGAGTAGTAGTAAAAATGAGTTCTTTTTTCAGCGATTGAGGAACAGGGGCCTCACCGTAGGATTCACCGGCCGCCGGAACTTGTGCCCGGAATTAGAATAGCTAGTGCGAGAGCGAGATTCTCAGCATTCGGGGTCTTCGACGAAGATTCGAAAAGCTGACGATCACGAGGAAGGATTTTCAGAAGCCTAAACATACACGCAGGTACACACTTTCGTGTGTGTGATGGTAGCGAGATATATAGGTCCGATTTTTGTTTGACAGATTCAATTAATGTTAAAAACACACAGATCAGCTAAAATGATTGATTGGAAACCTTGTTCCTTATGGGAATGTTAAATCACGTGCCAGTGCTTTTGGGTTTGTTGTTTTGTTGTGAAAATTTATAGTAGAGTAATCTGAAATTACTGGTCAACTATGTATGCAACATGTGAAATGGTACGATCTCGTTAAGAACTATTTTGTCGGAATTTGTTACTGTTAGATCATCAAATAACCGTCGAAATAGTTGATCTAATGATTTCAAATCCCGACAGAATGATTCTATAACGGGACCGTAACATCTCTCCTAACATGTATAGCAATATAAATACATTCTCTTTAGAAGTATCGATTTATATATATAATTGTAGGTAAAGAAAATATGATTTTTCTTTTTTCATTTTACACTTTTTTTTAAAGTTAATTATGTAATAATTCTATTTTTGTTTAATTATTTTATTGTATAATAGTTGCTAGAGTTATTCTAGTGTTAGGTACCCCTCGTACATCTCTCGTATATACTTGACAATATGCACTCGTTTAAATTATGACACGTGTCCTTTTATTTCTTTACTTTTTTTAAATAAAAAACTCATTAATCAAACTACTGAATTACCCTAAAAATGAATGAGAAAAAAATTATATAGTACTACAACTTTATCTTACTATCACTGGTGGCATCCATAATTTCCAGTTAATTAGTTCTTCTACCAACCAATAAATGGCATAAACTAAGAAAAAAATTGTGGAAAATATCATTTCGAACTGAAGGCTCATATAGTTGAAAACATCAAATTGATCAAGGCTTATTGTTGTCCATGAAAAGAGGAACAAAATGAGAGTTCACCCATCAAATTTGGACAACCGAGTTGCCGTCGGTTGAAGTATACGTCTCAGAGTCGCACAATGTCGAAAATCTAAACACTTCACTTACCTTTTTCTGATTATATAAAGGTCCGATCGGCGATAGGGATACTGTTGAATTCCATATGAAAAGAGCTCTCTATACGTATAAGTTTCACAAATATCCAACAGTCTGATCTCTAATGATATTCCAAAATAATTTACTACGTAATTGTTTGATTTTTTTTTATTTTTTTTGAATTCTAATAACGATTTAACAAAGTATGAGGTATTGTCTGATGAAAGTAAACATATCGTTGAATAGACTGAGTCGAGGTTTTTTAAATACTATATTGATTATTAAAATTTACTAAAGACAAACGACGGTTAATGGTGGTAGCCGACACTGAGATGGTCGGATATTCAATTTTAGTACGATTTCAATTTAATTATCTTATTTTTTTAGTTATTTTTGTTATATTCATGAAGTAGAAATTAAACACAATATAAGTTTTGAATGAAACAAATTAAATTATAAATTAAATCAAAGTAAGTGTATTATAGATATTTAGGCGTTCACACACTTTTTTGGCTCGTACATTAATTGTAGGGTTCATATTGAAGTTTCGATCAATCTAAGATGGGATACCTATTGTTACTTGTTAGGTATGTAAGAGCCTTACCTAACCTTCTAGGTCCCTAATTACTACTGAAACTAACTATATTCCACACTACACTAATAGGCATATATATGGAAGTCACATTATAAGTATAAAAAATTATTCTACAATTTATTTTTCAAGTTAATATTAATATATAAACAAATTTTATCTTTTTTTATCTTTTTTTTTTTTTTTCTTTGCACATCTCAGTAAGTGATTGTTTTTTAAAGAAAAAAATCTAATTGTTTTTAATAAGATAGTAAAACCCTTTAAATTATATAAACAATTGCGATAATAGAAATTTTAGTCATTTTCAACTAATTAATTATTCTTAATCTCTCAATTATTCATTATATTTTCATGCAATCAATATAATGATTTATATATAGTTAAATAGTTTATACTGTTTAATTTTACTTTTACTGATGAACAAATTTTTAAAATGTGATACAACTATATAACTTATAATTTTAATATTATGTGCGTCAGAGTTACAATACATTTTTTAAATATGTGCATGGAGCACATTACAATCGGCCCCATATTTACATGCAGGACTAATTGGCTTAATAATAGTTGGTTGAGACGATCATTCATAATTCTTTAATAGAAATTAATATATATTGTACAATGACCTCTCTCATACTCATATATATCAAATCAACTTTAATAATTTCATTTAAATATTATTTTAATCTCATTAAAAATTAATCAAACTAATTTTTTTAAAGTTTATTATAGTTAAATAAAAACAGTCACAAACTGATTTATTTGTATACAAAGAAACCCTTAATTAGAAGGTTGCGTTACGTAAAAACAAAATGCAGCAACCCAGAATCGTGTACATCTTTGCCGAAATATATAATTTTTTTCCTGTTTTATCCATTGTTTTGTGATCTGGACCGACCCGACGGATCAACCCGGGACCCGCTCGACCTTGAGTCGAACCCGGTCCGTGTGGGCTATTTAGACCGGGTGACAATGGACCCGACCAAACCCGGTCAAGACCCGGCCAACACAGCCTTGACCCG